CGTACATACTTGCTCTGTAGAAGTGGCTCCATCTGAATTACTCAGTTCCGGGGCTATACAGCACACACCATGGGCTCTGGGGACTTTGAAAGAGCCCACTCGGCAACAAGAACATACTCTAAATTATTGGAAAGTGAGTCATATATGATCAAACTGACCTCCACAATGACATTTCAATTTCCTGACCTTCTCAGAAAATGTTAGCCAATGAGGTGGCCTCTTTAATGTTTTCCATATCTGTATGTATTTTTAAAATATGGATCCAGGGGTTGGTGAGATGACTCTATATAGAGGCTCCTGCCCCCAAACCTGGTGGCCTGGGTTTGATCCCCAAGACTCACTTGAGAGAAGGAGAGAACTGACTCCTGCAAGTTGTGTTTTAACCTACACACACACACACACACACACACACAGTAGTTTTAAAAAAATGGATCCTTGGATGAAAACCTGGAGCAATCGGCAACCACAATGAAATCCACTGTGTTATGTGCAGTGTGACTTCAAAAACTAAAGATTTATGTTTTGACTTCATAAAATGTCAGTTCTTCAGCAATCAAGTGAAAAGCCAGGGACTGAAACAAATAAACAAAGAGACTAGAACAAGTTGAAAGAAACATTTGCAAAATATATGACAAAGATTTAATATCATTAATAACAGAGTGCCATACTGTAACTGTATAGGGGATCATGATTGGGCTCATTTGCCCTGCCTCTTAAAGGAAAAGTCATGAGCTTGACAAGTAGCAGCAGAGAAATCTCCAATATAGCAGGCAGAATCAGGAGGCGAGGAAACACCTCCAGCAGACACGTGGAGAAAAAGACCTCTGCAGAATTAAGTGGGTCCTCGGGAAGCTAAGATCTAGTCTCTTCTCAGGAGCAGGGTTTTTAAACTCTCTGAAGGGTCTTCCTCCCCTAACTTAGAGTTAGTTGGTCAGTTTGAAGAAGCACAGGATGACTGATTGGCTCACAGTCGTTATGTAACATGTCCTGATCTGGCCTTGACCTTGCTGAGCTGGTCCATCAGTAGGTGGCCTGCTGGCAGCAGAAAAAGCCCACAGGCCTTTGTTTTACCAGGCTGTTGCCTCAGGTCTGGAGGGTGAGGAATAATCCAGCCATCTTGGAAGTTCGACATCTTTATTGCCCAGCCATGGCCCCATCCATCCCTGTCTGTCCTTGAGTTCTCTTTATTTTGACTCTAACACTGATTTCTGTTCTCTGGACAAGGCAATTCCTAAACCAGGCAGTCATTACCCTTTCAGAGAAGCCTTTTCTGTGAAGATCCCAAGTAAGCCAGCATGTTACTCTCTGTTTAAGTGGTTGTCACACGATTGGGCATCAGGCTACTTGCCACGATGGTAAACTTACATCGCTTATGGTCTTTTGGTTAATGTCTGTCTACTAGGGTGCAAACTCATTGACCAAAGCTGCTTTTACTTGCCACATACAATAAATGCTTTGGGTCAATTAGAGGCGATGAATGAATGTCAGTGGAAGAACTACAACCCATAACAAAGTCTTTTACTTTCAGATTATCAAATTTTAACAAAACTGATGGTAGCATTCTTTTTAAGGTAGTTTGCACTTTCCAAGCACACACACACACACACACACACACACACATACACTTCCATCTTTAGTACTACTGCCAAAATAGATATTCAAAGAAACATCCAAAGGGTTCCATGTTAAGCCACTTAGATGGCTCAGCAGGTACAGGCGCTTGCCAACAAGCCAGAAGTCCTGAGCTCGATCCCTGACCCCCACGTGGTCTAAAGAAGAGAAGCAACTACTTACTGTTGGCATGCTGTGTGCATCTTTACTTTTGTATTGCTGTGGTAAAGCACCATGACCAAGACAACTTGCCATAGGGAGAGTTTATTTGGGCTAACGTTTCCGGAGGGTGAGTGTCCACAATGGCAAGGACAGAAGGGCTGCAGGGGAGAGATACGGTGCTGGAAGCTGAGGGTAGAGGGCTTGTGTCTGGAACTACGAGCACAAAGCAGACAGAACTAGCAATGGTGTGAGTCTTTAACTCTCAAAGCCCACCCCCAGTGATGCACTTTCTCCAGAAAGGCCATATCTCCTAAACTTCCTAAACAGTTCAGCCAACTAGGGACCAAATATTCACATGCCTGAGACTATGGGAGACATCTCATTCAAACTACCACATTATCACACACACACACACACACACACACACACACACACACACACACACACACAGAGAGAGAGAGAGAGAGAGAGAGAGAGAGAGAGTAAATTCATTTAAAATGAGTTTTTTTAAAGATGTTTAATGTTGATAGATAGAAAACTGAAAAACTCCATTGCAGTACACACACAGCTCACAACAGTTTTAGAAACTTTGATCTTCCTATTGTTGACAAAGTGCTTTCCACACTATTTGTCAAGTGAGGACCTCACACAGAATTGTATAGTGGAATGACATTTTGGTAAAAATACATGCAAATTCCCTTTCCATGATGTAGAATAGGCATAAAAATAGATAATAAAGGAATAATAAATACTAATGATTGTACCAGGCCTTTTCTTTGGGGCCATCAACCAGCTCCCAAATCATAACACAGAAACTTATTATTAGTTTTGAATGCTTGGCCTTATCTTGCTCTTATTTTAACCTGTTTCTCCTTATCTACCTTTTGCCTCAGGGCTTATTATCATTCTTATTTCCACAGCTTCTTTACATCTGTCTGTCTGTCTGGCATCTGCCTGGCTTCTTGCCCCAGATGTGGCCCTCATTCTCTCCTTCTTCCTTTGAGCCTAGTTTTTTTCCTCCTATTTATTCTCTCTCTCTCCTAGCCCCACCTATCCTTTCTCTGCCTAGCTATTGGCTGTTCAGCTCTTCATTAGACCAATCAGGTGCCTTAGGCAGGCCGGTGAAGCAAATGCAACACATCTTTACACAATTAAACAAATGCAGCATAAACAAAAGCAACACATCTTTGCCTAGTTAGAATAATATTCCACAGTAAATGATCATCCTTTTTGATTAGTGACATTATGGGTTATAAAATCATATTTATCTGAAATAGAATATACATGTGTCATATTCATAATCAGAAATACATATTTTTATAATACAGAAATACATGAAAATACTTTAAGTGCATATATATTTTTATCAGGTCTACATGAATTTTCTTTTTTCTTTTTTTTTTGTTTTTTGTTTTTTGGAGACAGGGTTTCTCTGTGTAGTTTTGGAGCCTGTCCTGGATCAAGCTCTGTAGACCAGGCTGGCCTCAAACTCACAGAGATCTGCCTGGCTTATGCCTCCCAGGTGCTGGGATTAAAGGCATGCGCCACCATGGCCCGGCCTACATGAATTTTCTTTAAGGCTTCACACACAAGTACAGAACCACATCTGCAAAGGTACCTGACCTCCGACACAAAATATCCTATAGTAACTAGGATAAGAGGCTTTGCTGGTGGAAGCTAAGGAGTGAAAGCCTTGTTTTGTTTCTGGCAGCTCTAATTGTTAAAATATTCTTTTTATAGAACCCAAACATATCTCTATATAATGTTAATTTTTTTCTACTACCCACCACATTATGAATGTTAGAATAGTGTGCCTGGAACATAAGGGGACATAACGACTTAATGAAATGTGTGTTCCTAAAGATCATTACAAAATTGCCAAAACATTTACTTTATGATCCAATGAAACCCTTAACTCCTTAATTTTCTTCACTCATTGGGGTTTCTAGAAGAAAACATAATCGGCTATTCATGCCCATGCTCTTTAGAAATTAATATCCTTCTTAAAAGGCCTCTAGACATGAGCTGATAACTGGGGAAGAGACTGGATATTATATTGTTTTTTAAATTTAATATTATCTAAACTGCACTGTCTTTTAAAAGAATCGTGCACTATTCTGAGCCCATAGTAAATCTGGTCAATTAAATCTCCTTTAGAGCCTGCAATGCTGCTTACCTATAACCACGGCAGGAGGCCTACGCTGCTGAGAGATGGGCTGGGCTATACAGGAAGACTCTGTATCAAAAATAGGAACAAAAATTAAAGGACAGGAGAGATGGCTCAGTAGTTAAGAGCATTGGCTGCTTTTCCAGAGGACCCGGGTCTGATTCCCATTATCTATAAGGCAGTTCACCATCATCTGGAACTCCAGTTCCAAGGAACCTAACACCTACTTTGGGCCTTGCAAATACGTCACATGTAAGTGATGCACAGACATGCATGTAGGCAAAACAGCTTTACACATATATATTTTTTTAATTTAAAAACTCATTTAGAGGTCTTGTTGTATAGAAATTATTCTCAAGTAAAATCATCCTTGTGGTGACCTCATTAAAATTCTTAATCAGAGCCAAGCATAGTGGTACACAACTTTAATCCTGTAAGTCAGCAGACAAAGACTGGTGGATCTCTGTGAATTCAAGACCAGCCCGTTCTACAGGACATTTCCAGGACAACCAAAAACTACATAGAGAGACCCTGTCTCAAAACAATACGAAAACAAAACAAAAACAAACCCAGAAAACAAACCAAAAAACAACCAAAAAACTCCAAACCAAAACCAAACCAAACAAACAAAAAGAAAAAAACAACGTAATCAAATATATGGAGGTAAAATTTATACATAGTAAAATTAACCAATTTAGCTGTGTGATTAGTTTGGGTGAATATATACAGATGGTCCCTCACATATAGTCGGTTACATCTGGATAAATGCATCATAAGTTGAAGCTGTCATAAGGCAAAAATGCACTAATTACACTTTGCCAGCCAAACAGTTGGCTGAGCGATAAAGGATTCCCCAGGACTGGGGTTCACTGAGAGTTGTAGCTACCTCCTGTGGTGCAGCATTGAGACAGGATTGCATTGCATGTCACATGCCCAGGAAGGGATGCGACACTACAGTATGATCTGTACTAATGCAAATTGCTCTTGTACCCCCAATAAAGTGAACAAAACTGTTAAGTTGGACCCCTGTGAATCTGTAACTATCTGTTCCATCTGGTAGCCATGACTACAATCAACATGCAGAATGAATCCATTATAGAATGTGAGCCTCGTGCTGACAAAAGGCAGAACACCCTCTTACCATCGGAACCTGCTGACTACCGCAGATCTCTAAAACTTCTTGAACTCAGGTGGGTAGTAAAATTGTTCTAACTTTGTCCTGTTATCAGAAATTTACATTGCCATTTATATCTTACAATTAGTTTTTCATGTTCTGTTTATGGAAGGGAATAAGGAGTTTAGACAGGGTCTCTCGCTCAGGTATACTTGTCAATGTCAATTTAAAAATTATTCAGGGATCTTATTTGGGGTTGCTTTGAATTTGTAGAGAAGTTTTTGTAAAATTACATTAACAATATAGAGTCTCCAACCCATAAGCATAGTATATTTCTCCATGGATTTTTTACTCAGCAATGTTTTGTGATTTTTTTCTTTAATACCTGGGATTATATATAACTTGATATAGTTATAAGTACTTCATCTTTTTTATGCTACTGTAAATAATATTATGTATCTGCCTAGGCGTGTGTGTGTGTGTGTGTGTGTGTGTGTGTGTGTGTGTGTGTGTGTGTGATATGTGTGTGGTGCATGGTATGAATGCCTGTGTATAGTCATGCAGAGGCCAGAGGAGGATGGATGTTAAGTATCTTCTATCACTCTGTTTTACTGGCTTGAGACAAGATCTCTCCTTAAACTGGAAATTCATCATTTTGACAAGGCTGGCCAGCCCATGGCCTCCCAGGATTCACCTGTCTCTGTCCCATAGAGCTGAGGTTACAAGCGCACATAACCGTGCTGACTGCCTGGATGCTGCTGATGTGAGCTCATCTCCCCATTCTTATACATCAAGAATCCTTATCCACTGAATCATCTCCTTAGGCCACTTATATCATTTATCTCTCAATTTCAATTGCATGCTGTTAATATATAATAATACACTTGATTTTCTAGGTTGCTTTTGTAGCCAGCAAATATATACCACCCATTCATTAACTTCAGTGAGTATATCTTTGTTACAGGTTGCTTTAATTTTCATTTTATCTTGTATGGGTATTTTGCCTGCATGCATGTCTGTGCACCACATGTGTGCAGTGCCCTGGGAAAACAGAATAGGGTGTTAGGTGGCCTGGGACTGGAGTTACAGATATCTCTTAACCATCATGTGGGTACGGGAATCAAACCCAAGTCTTCTAAACACTCAGCACTTTTAACCACTGAGCCATCTTCAGGCCCAGGTTTTTGTACATGTTTGTGTCACCCACAGTAAGGATTGCAATGTAATCTTTTCCAGCTGTATTTCCACTTGTTTATTCATCAAGACTGAAGTAGTTGACACCCACATACAGTGCTGAATATGAATCAATGTCCTGGATTCTCTCTTCTTAGAAAGAATAGGCTTAGTTTTTTAAACATCAAATATGATAATGAAAAGGGTCTTTTGTAGATAGCTTTGATCAGGTTGAAGAACTCACCCTCTATTCTTAATATTCTGCTTTCCTAACAGATAGGCATTACAAATTTTCTGATGTGCCACCTGGAGCTATCAAAATGATTATGTTTCTTTTCTTTTTTTTAGAGCATTAATATAGGGAATTATATTGATTGATTTTTCAAGTGTTGAATTAATCCTCCACTCTAGATAAAAGCCTCATGTGGGTCATGATGTTTTCTTATCCTTTGAATATGTAAGTCACGTTGACAATACTTTAAGAACTTTCACGACTTGATATATAAGTGGCAATGACCTACAGTTTTATATCATGTGCTATTTGGATTTTGTATCATAGTAGTGGTGGCTTTAAGAAGTGTTCCTTTTTCTTCTTTGTCCTAGAAGAGTCTGTGTAGAGTTGACAATGCTTTCCTATTGCAATCACAGTGAATCTTTTTTGTTTAATAAGTGTTTTTAACAAGAGATACATTTTTTGTTCGTTGGTTTTTTGAGATAGGGTTTCCTTAGCTTATCCCATCCACCTTTTACCTCTGGGCTTTTCCTTTTCTCTTACTTCTGTAAATCTTACTTTACTCCATAGCTTGCTGTAAAGCTGGATGACTGGCCCCTGAAGTCCTCCTTCCTTTCTCATTCCTAGATCTCTCCTCCTAGTTTTCTCCTATTTATACTCTTTGCCTGCCAGCCCCTGTGGTGGTAATCTAATTGTATTGAAATATTATTTTGATTTGTACTGAAATATTAATTTGATTGTATGTT